ACAATATTAGGCCAAGTAGTGAATAGTTAGAATATTTGTTAGGTCCTATTCCTTATTATTATTCTTTTTTTTTCTTCTTGGTTCTACATTTTTGCCTTCTAGATTCAAGTTAATTACTTTACCTTACTTACTAATTTATGCCTAAAAATTTAAAAGTCTGACGGAACATATATATATATGAAAACATGTCCTCTAATTTCTAAGGCTTATTTCTAATTAGACCCTGCATTGTTCACGTCTTATTATAGTGTATTCCTAATTTAGTTTCTAATAATCCGCACTAAATCTTCCTAACTTCCATTATTTTGCAGTATTAGAGGTTTTTCTAGCAGTATATTTTAGACTTGTTTTTATTACATGATGTTTATTGCTTACGATCTTTAATAGCACATGCAATTATATTCTATTTGGTTATTTATTCCACACTAATACCTACATTACACATTAGTTACAGGGGAAAATCCACTAAATTTTGCTAGAGTTCTAGTTCCTCCTCATACTAGCTTTTTCATTGAATATGTCCTTTTTGTATTGAACTATTCTGCTATGTCTTCTGCAACGAAATTTATTATTATTTTTATTATTTTTTTTATACAAAGAAAAGTTATTAATGATTGTCGACTCTATCCTCACTGCTTCTTCCCTACTTACTTTCAAAAAATTTTAATCCCAACTTATCACAATCGACTATCCAAGCTGTCCAGCATATTAATCACTATTATGTACAATAAAAGGCATCAATTTACGCAACACGTGAAACGAATACAACAAAAGGTAATTCCTATATTTATTTTGTTTCCTTGTCCACAACATATACACACTTCACAAAATAAATCATGTTCATATAACCACTAACGAAAACAGAATGGAAGAACTTTACGCGCACATGGAACATTCATCATATTTAATACAAAAATCCTTACTTATAGTACAACTAAGATGGTTCAGCATTTTCATTTGCTCTTCCACTCAATCACTTAGTATTTACTATATCATGAAAGCACATCATACAGTACCGTTTTCACATGCAAGAATAAAAGTGATGGGGTTATCCGATTTTCACTTAACACTGGTTTATATCTTTACACTTGACATATTATTATTCACTCTCTTTTTCTTCCTTCAGTAAGAAGACAACTTCATTAAATCACATACAGTCAAAATTTCAACTAAACATGCAGTAAAATTTAACAAAGTTTCACACAATATGGACCCCTTTACTTGTAAATAAGAACCTCGTAGTAGGAAAAAAAAACAATGAGTTTGGAAGGTCAGTGTAGGCCTTGATGCCGTCCTTCGAGAAACAAAACAACGAAAACAGAATGTGGGAGGATAAGGAAGAATAAAAGGGAAAGAAGAGAGTTAAGATTTTGAGTTTGGGATATTTTTAAAGTAAGAAACCGAGAGTCATTTCCCCCTTCTTAGCATATATTTGACTCTTTAAATGCATGCAGGAAATATTGAATCTGTCCTTCTCTTTGTTTTTCTCCTTTTTGTGGTATGAATTCTCGAGGGTTTGGTGTAGTAAGTATTAAATTGATGAGACTATGAATTGCCTTATTTTGGATTTCCAAAGTCATTTGGGTAGTATGATGGACCGGTGAGGCTGTTGTACCATAATTAAGGGAGAATGTCACAACGTTTTACTCACTTCATGGCTGATATGGAAGGCCAATGCAGCAACCAACAAGATGGAAGGAAGACACGTCATGAACATGAAGAGATGGCCACATTTATTATGAAATCTGCACCTCGTGATCTTAAGATCTGTGTTGTGAACAATGTCCCTTCCCTCTAATGTGTATATACATTTTACATGGCATATACTCAGAAATGGTTTGTGAGTGGAGTACAGGTGCATTTCAAATAGGGTGCCACATAAATTTATGTCATGCAAAGATTAGGTGGAGATTGAAATTTTCTTCCATGTTATGCCATTACTTGTAGCTTAGCAAATTTGGAAGTCCAATTTTTTTTAGAATTAGTGAGTGGAAGAATGGACGTGGAATCTTAAGAATAACGAAACCACTTCTCTTTCATGTAGTCTATGAATGAATGTAGAGACTGCATTTCTTTGTAGAAGGGAGAATAAAAATCTGGTTGCATGTTAATCCACATGTATACGTATATAATTCCTTATGGAATTCAAAGTATATAAAAAAAATCAGAGAAAAAAATCTTACACGGTGTGAGTTCAACAAAAATTATAAATTAAGTTATTTCAACCACATTAAGGCGTAAAGTGAATATTAGAAAGAAATAGTTAAGATAAATTGAAATCCAAAATATTAGTATATAGTAATGAGATAATTTTTGGGGTGTTACACAACAGAGGCCCCTAAATCTCCTGCATCCTTCTCGCTATAGTGAGAGCACAATAGAGACACGTCAGTTGCCTATGACCTTATCGCTACAGCGAGAATGTCTGTACAACACCCCATCAACCTATGTTTTCAATCAATCTAGTCCAACCACAAGTCAACATTTCTATATATATATATATATATATATATATATGTACATTCGTGATAAATCCATATTTTACTAGTATTTTACCTTAGTTTTAATACCTTTGATAAAGAAAACATATTGGAAAAAGCAGAAAAACTCATAAAATAATAGAATGATTAATGTTTTCTCTAAACATAGTTGTTTTAGAATTTATGAATTTTCTGTATAGAAATTAATGATTCAATCATATTTTTGAAGGAAATTCTGAGTTAAGTTTATGAGGTTCAAAGATCAAAGGAAAGATAGAAGAGAAGTAGCAAAAACTGGAATCCAGGAACAAATTTTAGTGAAGCAAGAGCTGGGCGTGATCATTATCGCTGGTGAAAGTGATCGTTCCAGAGCTTGAAAGTGAAGGGAAATATGCCCGTGATCACTATTGTTGATGAAAGTGAGCATTCTAGAGAAGCTTCAATCATAGCAAAGCGTGCATGATCATTTTTCCTGGCAAAAGTTATCGTTCCAGAGAAGCCTCTAAGAAAGCAAACTGTGCTTTATCACTTTTGTTCACAAAAGTGATTGTTTCAGAGAAGCTTCCATCACTGCAAAGTTGCGCGTGTGTTCTTTTGCCACAAAAGTGAACATACGAAAACCTCGAACCTCTGCGTTGCTACTTTCATGAACAAAAGTGATCGTTCCAGTCATGAAGATTATCAGAAAGGCCTCTGTGTGGTTGCTTTAGTGAAAAATAGTGATCACGCTAAAAAGACGAGAATTTTATAAATATGAATTAGCTCAAATATCTTGGGATCTTTTGTTCATTTTCACTTTCCACTTGTTTTCTGGTGTTGAGAGAGTCTAAGAGAGAGATTGGGGACGAGCACCAAGCTTCAAATCTTGAGGAATCGGATTGAAGATTGGCTTGAAAATGCTTCTTCGTTCATCTTCTTCTCTTTCTTTCCCTTCTCATTTTGTAATGGTTGCTTAAACTCTTTGTAGTTAGGGATTATGAATCTGAAATGGAAGTGTTGAATTGATTTTGGGTTTGAATTTTGAGTATTGGATTGGATTGAGTAATTGATTCTGCTATTTACATAGTGATTGAATGAAAATTTGATTAACTAATTACAGATGAACTCTTATCAATAGAAGTTGAATTTGTTTCTCAGACTTGAATCAACTACCAAGGTTATTGATTTCTTAGGGATAAGATATCTTGATCTTGCAATCTTCTAGTTTCTAATGCGTAATGCAACATTTATTTGAACCAGATCAAAGGAATTAGAGTGATTTAGTTGAATGTTAGATTCATTGAGTTAAGGAATTAAGCTTTGATTAATATAACGTGAAACTGATTGTCATTCCATCTAAATACTTGAAAGTTCAGAACTTTATTGAATCAACATTGAAGTTTTAGTGAAATAAGTCCCTAACTATGTTTTCTACTTATGTCAAATACATACTTTCATGTCATTGTTTTGTTTTCTCTTTTGAGTTTAATATCTGTTACTTTTACTTCCAAACCTCATCTAAAATTTGTGAAGCTCAACTAATTGTGAACTTGTGAAGTGATAATTGAGAACTCTATTCCTTGAGGACGATATTTGCGACTCAAACACAGTTCAAACATTTTATTACTTGCTACAATAACACTAGTACACTTGCTAGTCAAAATTACTTCTGTTAAGAAAGTGACAAGTTTTTGGCGCCATTGTTGGGGAATATTTGTTTTCAATATCACTAGTAACCGAAAAATAACTAGATTGAGCATTTGTTTTCTTTAAATTTTCTTACATTTAAAATTTTTCTGTTTTGCAATCAGTTGAGTAGTTAATTCTGTATTTGTATAATTTTTATTTTTGACAGATTTTATATCATATCAAGTAGTTACTTTGCATTTATATACTGTGAATTAGTGCAGTTTCTATTTTCTTTCTACTATATCTGAATTATTAATTGTACATGCGTAGCAAAAACAAAAACAAGTCTACTCTTGTCTTTGATCCTGACATAGATATAACACTAAGAAGATTAATGAAGAAGGCTAGAGCAGAAAGTTCCTTTGGAGGTGATAGTGATTTTGAGGTTATACATTCTCTAGAGATTCAAATTACTCCTATTTCAAACAAAACACATTCACCTTTAGACAGACCGCTCTAGAAATTGAAATGGCAGAACAACATAGAATGAGGACACTATGAGATTATGCAATTCCAAATATGTAGGGCTATAACTCTTTAATAGTGAGACCAACCATTCAAGCTAATCATTTTGAAATCAAAGCAACCTTACTTCATTTGGTACAATAAGACCAATTCTCTGGTGGAATTTCTGATGACCCTAGCTTGCATATTTCTAATTTTCTATAGTTGTGTGACACTATAAGGATGAATAGGGTGAGTGAGGATGCTATAAGACTGAGGCTATTTCCATTTTCTTTGAGAGACAAGGCCAAATGTTGGTTACAAGCACAGCCTCAAGGGAGCATCACCACATGGACAGAGTTTGTGAACAAATTTTTAACCAAGTATTTTCCTCCATCAAAAGCTGCCAAATTGAGAGGAAAAATTACATCCTTTATGTAGCAAGAAGGAGAATCACTATATGAAGCCTAGGAAAGATATAAAGAGTTGTTGAGAAGATGTCCACACCATTGTATTCCAGAGTGGATGCAGTTGGAAACCTTTTACAATAGGAAGTAAACCTTCATAAAAATACTGAATCAATAGTTGCTCATTGATTTGGTGATTTGGACATGTTGCACAAAGTCTGTTAAACCTCTCCCAATACTTATACAAAGTCTCTCCTTGCAGTTGTCTGATCCCACTTATTTCTTTTCTAATTGCTGCAGTTCTGGAGGTAGGGAAGAACTTCTCTAAGAATCTCCTCTTCATGTCATTCCAGGTAGTGATTGGTGGTTGCTGCAAGTAAAGCCAGTCCTTGGCCACGTCTCACAGTAAGAATAGAAATTCCTTTATCTTCACAAAGTCTTTAGGCATGTCTATTGGCTGCATGGTAGAGCAGACTACATGGAACTCCATCAAGTGTATGTGCGGATCCTCTCCTGCTAATTCGTGAAATTTGGGCAGCAAATGTATCAAACCAGACTTCAATTCATAGGTGGTTGCGTCTTCTTTTAACTGAGGCACTTAGATGCAAAGTGGCTGGTGGCCAACACCAGGAGAAGCCAGCTCCTTCAAGGTTCTCTCTTGGTGGTTGTTTGCAGCCATCTGTCTTGTACTGCACTCTCTTTGTGATTGTTGTAATCTCTGAAGCCTTGACCATGTCGTCTCAATCTCAGGATCTAATGGATACAGTGTACTTGGTCTAGACCTAGTTATGCATAGTTAGAATCACCAAAAACATCCAGCACTTAATAAACACTCACAAAGTAAACAATGTCAATTTACAAAGCAAGTACTGAGAATTTTTTGAAATGCACAAGTATGTAAACTGGATGCCTAAAAGCAGGAAAAATATATAAATAAATAGCAGAAAATAAAAGTTTTTAAAAAAGAAAGCAATATTTGAAAATTTGGGCAACGACAACCAGCTCAACGGGTTGCAATTAATAAAATTTTTTTTTCTACCCCAAATGCATATGCAATAATGTCAATTCTGAGTTTCCTAGCCAAAGTTATGCCCGTTTTAAGTTTTCAAAATTTTCTCTTTGCCACTCACTTGTATATTTTTTTCTACTCCTTTTTTTGCAACTTCGACTACTTTACTATCCAAAAGACACTAAAAGAAACGTGGATACAAAAATTCAACTCAAAATTCAATCTCTAACTATTTTTTTGATTTTTCTAAAATTTGGTGAATAGTAACCTACATTAGCGACTCAACACAAACGAAAATGAAGCAAACGCAAAGACACCAAGACTCAAAGACACAAAGACGCAAACGAACAATGTAGGAAATTAAATAGAGCTGTCAGCGCATGCAATAAAACTAAAACAAAATGACTTGTATCCTTAGCAACGGCGCCATTTGGACAATCACGTCGTAATGGTTTCAAACAAAACTAGATTCCTCAAACAAGCATGCAATATAGGGAGTAAATCTAGGTCATCTCATGTCGTAATGGCTTCAAACAAATTCATTCTATTTCAAATTTTAAACAAGCAACGAGATTAATTTGGAGGTTTGTGATTTAACGATAAATTAAAAACGAAAGTAATTCAAATGAAAGCAAACCAAGACAATGAAAATGAATCTAAAAATAAATTTGAAAAACAAATTTAAATTTAAAATTTAAAAACAAATCTAAAAATAAATCTGAAAACAAATTTGAATTTAAAATTTGAAAACAAATCAAAAAAATAAATCTGCAACCGAATTTAAATTTAAAATTTGAAAATAAATCTAAAAATAAATCTGAAAATGAATTTGAATTAAAATTTGAAAAGAAATCAAAAAATAATTGAGAACAAAAATTGAAAAATGAAAATTTAAAACAAAAATTGAAACAAGAACAATTAAAACTAATACGAATTAAACGCACGAACCACAGACGCAAACTAATATTACTATACCAAATTTATCCAAAACTCAAATGTAATAGAAAACAATTGATCGATATTACATTCAAGAACAAAAACCAAATTCAATCAAATTATGCATGCACAAATTTTAATCAAGAATTGCGAGAAGGTAAAAAAAACGAACTTAGAGCGCTCAATCGATCTAGCAATCTATACTTGAGACAAGATGATTCGCGACCCCAAATAGTTAAGAACACACCAGGATCCGAAGAGACGCAAGCGAATGGAACGAAACAAATTTACTCTAAAAAATGGGAAAGTGTCTTTACAGAAAAACAAAATTATTAAAAAGATAAGAAGAAGGTCCAAAATCAATCTTTTGACCCCTATATATACTGGTCTTAAATGAAAACAAAAATAAATGGGCCAAGGCCTCTGCAAAAAATAAAATAAAAGCCTTAAGTAGAAACCCAAAATATAAAAGGTAAATTTTAAGTCTGAACTTGAAAAATTAATAACAAATAGCTCCGAACTCCAAACAGCATGATCCATATGTCCAAATTGAAGCCTAAAAAGTCAGGAATCCATTACAAAATGAATCATGCAAAAAGGAGGTCTGCAGAAAAAGTTATGACTGAAATAGTGGAGGAGGTCATAATAGAAAAAATACAAAATATTAAGTAAAGATGACAAGTATTCATGAAAACTCTAATTTAATGCAAGAAATGCAAAATCATGCTAAATATAATAATTAAAGAGAGAAAAGGTATTTTGGAAGATGCCATAAGGCTATAAATGTGAGTATAAAATATGAATCATTACTGCTGTAGGGCATTCTCGCTATAGCGAGAGAGCACTGGGAGAGAAGGATGAAACTATCACCTTGTCGCTGTAGCGAGAAGTCTCTCGCTGTAGCGACAAAGCCACAGTTTAGGTTGCATTTCTGGGTGTAGTCTTGCTGTAGCAAGAGGGTCTTGCTATAGTGAGATTCTACAGAAATCAGAGTCCAGTTTTGTCTTAGTTTTTCGCTGTAGCGAGAGAGGGAGTCGTTGTAGCGAGAATATCTAGCTGTAGCGAGAGTGTCACAATTAAAGAGGATTTAAAGGGGGTTAGGGTTGGAGAAAGGTTACTTCTCACCTTCCCTTTCGAATCTCTTTGATTCTCTCAACCCAAAATCCTATTCTACCGATTAAATTGCTTCCAAAGCCGTTCGAGAGCAAGATTGAAGGTTGAATCTGTGTGGGGAAAGCTTGAAGGTGAATTTTAATAGTTAGGATTTTTGTTTTTCCTCCCCTTTCCCTATTTTCGCGATTTCCCTGGTTCTCATATAATTCTTCCATGTATTTAGGATGAAGTCCGTGTGGAGAGCCTTCTCATTGTCAATTTTGGTGTGTGACTCTTGATTTGAGGTAAGGGAAGACTCTACCCTATCTTATTTTGTTTAGAAATTTATTTATTCTCTATGCATTATAATGTGGCTGAAATGGAATGTGAGAATATGAGTGCTTTGACGAATTTATTATGTTGGATATTGAGTGGTGGAAGTTGGTTAGTATTATGTGTGCCAAAATGGTTAAATTGTGTATACTTGAGTGATTTAATGGGTATAGACTCGGTTGAAATTGTTGTGTGTTGGAAATGCTGTATGTTGAATGGAATGTGAATGAATAATTGTGCCATGTGCTGTGAATGGTGAATATTGTGTACGTGGTTGAAATGAATTATGTTTTAAATTCATGTGGGCACTTGTGCCGTGTATTTGAATGAATATTATGAACAAGTGTGGGCCTAAGGGCCGTAATATGAATGAATATAGGCTTTGTGTCGTGTACTGTAAAACAAATGAGGGCCTAGTGTCGTGTATTATGCATGACTGTGGGCTTTATACCGTATACTGAGAATGAATATTGCAATGTGTGTGAATGGGGCGTGAATAGCGCCGGTATAACGTGTTTTGAATGGTTCAGTGATACACTGGGGGTGTGGAAGATGAGGACAGTAGAAATACCTTGGGGAAGAAGGAGTGGTGGTGATACCGACAGTGGGAGTGGGTACACCACGGGCCACACACTCTCTTCCTGACTAGACCTCTGACCATTACCTTTGTTGAGCGACTTGTGACTATCCATGTGGTATCCGTGAGGCGGGGGTAACCGGCGACCATTCATGGTCTAAATATGTGATCATAATGCAACAGAGAGCATGGCTAGATGCAGTGAGTGCACGTGTGTAAACTATTTAGTGCCATGAGCGCATCGATTATGAACTGGAATGAAATGTTGTTTGTGATTAGCTAGACTTGAGTAGAATATATTAGAATACCTATAGTTATGCAAGGTGAGTCTCTATGTTATGCATGTGTGTGTGGGACAGTGTAGAGTACTCACCCTTACATTCATTTTTCAGGTAACCAAGACGATTAGCACCAGACTCAGTGAAAGAAGGATGAACTGCTATAGGACTTAGAATTTATTTTGAAATTTATGATGTAACTCGATTAGTCCTATAGCAGTCTTTGATATAAACTTGTAATCCTTTATTATTTTAAACGATTTTATGAAGCCATGTCATGGGAAATTTAGTTAAATGAAAATTTTTCATATTCTCATTTTTGCAAAATTTATTATTTAGAAATTAAATTAAGGTGTTACAGTTTTGCTTTGGATGAAATGATCTCTTGGAAAGCTTGAGTTTTTTATACTTGCATGTTGATTTTTCCTTGTGCATGTGATAAATCCATATTTTACTAGTATTTTACCTCAGTTTTAATACCTCTATAAAGAAAACATGTTGCAAAAAGCAGAAAAACTCATAAAAATAATAGAATGATTAAAGTTTTCTCTAAATACATAGTTGTTTTAGAATTTATGAATTTTTTGTGTAGAAATTAATAATTCAATCATAATTTTGTAGGAAATTCTGAGTTAAGTTCATGAGGTTGAAAGATCAAAGGAAAGATAGAAGGAAAGTAGCAAAAGTGGAAGCAAAGAGCAAGGTTTAATGAAGCAAGAGCTGGATGTGATCACTATCGCTAGCGAAAGTGATCGTTCCAGAGCTTGAAAGTGAAGGAAAATCTGCGCGTGATCACTTTTCCTGGCAAAAGTGATCATTCCAAAGAAGCGTCAATCATAGCAAAGTGTGCGTGATCATTTTTCCTAGCAAAAGTGATCGTTCC